CATTTGGGGGGACTGAGCATAGCAGCTTCGTCAGTGTTACTGAGCATGCTCAGTAAAAGCCAAGCAGCAAATTCGGGAGGGGGGAGGCCTCCCCCCTACACACACATCACCTCTTCTAGGGCTAGTAAGACACTGAAACTCTAGGGCTATGTCTACACTGCAGGCTTTTTTGTTTTTGCACAAGAACAGCTGTTGCACAAAAACTAGCTGGGTGTCTACACTGCATGCACGTTTTTGCACAAGTAAATTTACAGTACAGCGTCGGAAAACAGGGCTTCTTCCAGAAGAGTTATTCCTCTCCCCCACAAGGAATAAGCCCTCTTGAGCAAGAGCTCTTCCACAAGAAGGCAGTGTAGACAGGCAACATGATTTTCTTGCGCAAGAAACCCCTATGGCTAAAATGGCCATCAGAGCTTTCTTGCTCAAGAGCGCGTCCACACTGCCATGGATTCTCTGGCACAAAAGCACATGGCAGTGTGGACACGCTCTTATGGAAGACTTTTTGCACAAGAACTCTTGCACAAAACAGTTCTTGTGCAAGAAGCCTGCAGTGTCTAGACATAGCCTAGGCAGTGGTCCCCAACCTTTTGGGGTTGCTGGGTGCCCAGGGGCAGGGGCCACCCATGCACTGCGTGCCCAGAGGCAGGGCTGCCCATGCGCCACACACCCGGGGGCAGGGCTGCCCATGCACCACATGCCCGGGCTGGCACCGCGCATGCGCTGCGTGCCCGGGGCAGGGCTGGCCCTGATCACTCAGCGGGCGTACATAAATGCCCTGGTGGGCACCATGGCACCCGCAGGCACCGCATTGGGGACCACTGGCCTAGGGTTTTTGGCAGATAACCTAGCAACTAGCTGACAGGATAGAAGCGCTGTATCTAATTCCTATGTACAAGAAAGAAAATGTAAATACAAACCAGACCCACTCAGCATTCTGACATCTTGTAGCAGGTCACTGAAGAGACACTGGTCAGCCTTAAAATGTGACTATATATTCTTATTTTCTTACTAACGAGAGAGAGCATGGGCATCCGGTAGCTTAGGTGTGGGAAGGTTTTGCCTTCCTGAACACTCTGTAGGTCAGTGGTCCCCAATGTTGCGTGGCTGCCGGGCGCCTGGGGGCGGGGCCACGCATGCGCCGCGCACCCGGGGGCAGGGCCACCCACGAGCCATGCACCCGGGGTCGGCATTGCGCATGTGCCGTGCGCCCAGGGCAGGGGCCACCCACGCGCCCTGTGCCCGGGGCCAGCACTGCACATGTGCTGCACTCCCGGGGCAGGGGCCGCCCATGCGCCACGCACCCGGGGCCGACACC